ATGGGGTGTTTTTCAGCTGCAGGGACAGGACGACTGGTTGCAATCGAGGGAAGGATGAATGTGGCCAAGTACAGGGATATCCTGGACGAACACCTTCTCCAGAGTGCTCAGGACCTCAGGCTGGGCCGAAGGTTCACCTTCCAACATGACGATGACCCTAAGCACACAGCTAAAATAACGAAGGAGCGGCTTCACAATAACTCCGTGACTGTTCTTGAATGGTCCAGCCAGAGCCCTGACTTAAACCCAATTGAGCATCTCTGGAGAGACCTGAAAATGTCAACCAATGTTTACCATCCAACCTGACAGAACTGGAGAGGATCTGCAAGGAGGAATGGCAGAGGATCCCCAAATGCAGGTGTGAAAAACTTGTTGCATCATTCCCAAAAAGACTCATGGCTGTATTAGCTCCAAAGGGTGCTTCTACTAAATACTGAGCAAAGGGTCTGAATACTTATGACCATGTGATATTTCAGTTTTTCTTTTTTAATAAATCTGCAAAAATGTCAAAAATTCTGTGTTTTTCTGTCAATATGGGGTGCTGTGTGTACATTAATGAGGAAAAGAATTAACTTAAATTATTTTAGCATATGGCTGCAATATAACAAAGAGTGAAAAATTTAAGGGGGTCTGAATCCTTTCCGTACCCACTGTACTCGCCAAATGGTGTTCATTTTGGGCCCCGCTTGTACTGATGAATTAATGCAGTGGAAATGGGACTACTGACACAATGTCAGTAGTCCCTGACACTGAGGTGAAGACCTCAGCCACCGTTTGAGAGTTTATAGCATAATTATCACGGACCAGCAGCTATAAAAGTATCAAGCCCTCTTTATCAGGTACGTACGCCTGGATCAAGCCTGATAGATCTCCAGGTCCAGCAGGTCCAGCAGGTCCTGCAGGTCCAGCAGGTCCAGCAGGTCCAGCAGGTCCAGCAGCTATGCGGAGCTCTGGGGGCTGCACCACCTCCTCCCCCTCCTCCCCCCACTCCACCGTATGCTCCGGACATCATACCAGACAACCTGGAAGAGAACAAAGAGACCAGACGTAAACTTAAACAAACTGAAAGGAAGAAAGTGACAACTGAAAGAGAAGGTAAACCCAACTTACATCTGCTGAGCCTGAGGGTTGTTCATCAGAGACGACGCCTGTGCACACAGAAAGAGATGTGTTAACACAGGACGAACTTTACTGAGTCCTGTTTGGAGAAACGAGCCCAGGTTAAACAGAGGGGAACACAGAGAAACAATGCCGTTACTGGACATGTCTCTGGAGGCTATTGATACACTCGGTGACTAAACATTTTTATTTAGAACCATGATAATGCTGCTGGCTTGTGCCACTCTGAAGCAGTTTGGGTGCTGCTGGGCTTCTCTGTGATAACACAGTTTAAATACATTAGTGTTATCAGCCTACTACATCATGTTTGTTGCTACGCAGCTCTGCTGGTTTCAGTCAGTAGCACACATTAGGAAATCCTGAGCTCAGTGTGATGGTCACGCCATGTCATGCATGTACCATTCACCAAAAACTGACAAGTTGTTTAAGTGCACAGAGGAAAATCCAGATGCTATTATATGTTGAAGCTCACACAAGATGACTGACGCCTGACCTCAAATTCAAAATGAACCTTTCATAGCTGGAGCTGAACAAACACGACTGTGGTGCAGTGTAATGGTAGTTTAGCAGGTTGGTTTCAGTCTGTGAGGAAAAAGCAGTTGAGCAAAGAGAAGCAGACATTCTGTACATCATTGTGTAAACATGAAAAATTAATAAGCACAAATAGACCATGAAAACAACTCCTGATCAACATGAGCTCAAGATGCACAATGAGACAAGCGGTTTCACTTTGTGATCCTATCATCTGATCTGATGTACACACTGCTCTGTATTCCTACACATAGCGATGTCTACTCAGCAACAGCACCAAATAAATGGCCATTGGTTTGGGCTCGCTCGTTTTGTGTCTGTCAGATGAAGCCTCACCATGTTCATGAAGCCAGGGTTACTGAGCAAACTGCCCAGGTCCACTCCACCCATCCCCGCTGTCTAAGAGAGGACACACACATCAATGCACATCCATCACTGAATCACTGCTCAGAAACACTGTTGGTCATCTCTTCTTACTGGACTGGATGTCTCCATCTTCTCCTCTGCGATCTTCAGGTTGGTTTTGTAGGTATCGTTGTCAGGGTCGAGCTCCAGAGCTTTCTTATAAAAACTCACTGCTTCTGTGTATTTACTGAGGCTGGCCAGAGCCAAGCTGAAACACAACAGTGAACACATCAGGACTCAAAATGAACAGCAGAAACGCAGTGTTTATGTTACCAGGAATGTGCATATGCATGTATGCGATTGCCCAACGCACCATCTCCAGCAGAATGATGTCACACACACACACAAAAAAAACTGAACCTGTGTCACTTTGGAGGAGCTCCTTGTGGTGCCAGTCCTCACTATGTAAACTCATGTAATGGGATAAACCCTAGTACGCCGACATTGGGTTGTACATGTCTAGATATTTTTATACCTCAGCAACCAACTTTCTCCTTCTACACTGACTGTTACAAGAGGCCAGAATGAGGGTCTTCACCTCACAAACAGAAGTTACAGTAGCCTGGATGTGACGACTGAGGAAGAAAAGCTAAAAGCACCAGCCAGTTGTTGACTGATTCAAAACGCACCTGCGTTACCTCTGGTGCGTCTTGAACTTTCTCTGCCTGTTTACAGCCAAACACTGAATTAAAGAGGGGGTGTGATCCTACCCCATCCTGCCATAGGCTTTGCTGTAGTTTGGGTCAATGCTGATGGCCTTCTCACAGTCCTGCACCGCCCCAGCGTAGTTCCCCATTTTACTGTATGCTGCAGCCCTGCACACACACACACACACACACACACAGCAAAATGCAGTTAGAGCCGACACAAGTAGTAGATACAGTCAAGTCAATAGACAGAAAATAATAGTTCACTACTTTCATAACCCAATTGTTTTAACAAAGATACTGTATTTTTGTTGGTTCCAGTGATGGGATCAACCAGATCAGGAATTGGTCCATCCCTGATATTTCACTATGCAGGTAACAAGCATGTAAATGCCTCAGGTGCTTCTGAAGCTCCGGACTCATGCTGACCTATTGCAGTAATAGACAGCGTTCTGAGGGTTGATACTGATGGCCTTGGAGTAAAACTCAATAGCAGCTGCAAAGTTGTCCACCTTCATCTGGTCATTGCCTGCAAT